ATGTGATGTTACAGAACAGGTAACAGTCAAGGCAACAATAAGAGTTGTGCCCCTGAATCACCCAGCCCATTCCTTCTGTCACCATGGCTCCTGGGTTCAAACACTTACCAGAATGGTGTGGGGAAAAGCCACAAGAAAATGGTGCTCGCACTGGTGTAAGAGAGTGTGAATTTAGCTTCATTTTGTCCTGCAGCCAGGGGTATTAGTGGAGAGTCTGTACAGTCGGTGCATATGGGGAAGCAGAGCCTAACCCAGTGGGGTTGTTTCAGGAGAGTCAGGAGCCCCTCAGCTTGTGGGTGACTGTGCCATCAACCAGGGCAGTTAGAGAGAGAGCAGGAGACGGCCTCATTGCACAGAGGCTATAGAGATGCCTAAGTGCTTTCCCGACAAACAACAAATCATTTGTGCAAGAGGGAAGGGAAGTGGGCTGAATACTGATGAGCAAAAAAAGAAAGAAACAGGAAACAGATCTGCTGACCAAAGGGCCACATCCTGAAGCTCTGCCTGGAAGAGAAGGGAGAGGGAAGAAAGAAGCCAAGGGCTAAGAGGGCTTGCCACGCCTTTTCCTTCATTTGAGGCCACAGGGAATCTTGATGGGAATGAGACAGCAGGTATGACGGACCCCTGCTGCTTGTTTCACTGAGAGGCAGATTTTCCCCGCCAAAATTCTTTTTGTTCCCTGCTGTGATTGAGCAGCCCCTAGTACGTAGCATGTAAATAAATGTGATTTTTAAAAGATTTTCTGTCCCACCCTGTTTTCAGAATATAATTCGGCTTTTAGCCTAGCCCAAGGAACTTTCTGTGGAAAGGCAGAAGCCCTCTTCTTATTAATACCTTTATTGAAAATGGCTCTTGAGACATTGTAAAGTTCAATCTGAAATAACAGTTTTATTTAACAGGCATGGCTGGGTTAGGGATAGACAGGGGATGAGAAAGCTGAGGTAAATGTTGTTATATTTACAGGTTATAATATTTTTAATAGACTACAGTGTATCGTTGATGCTTATTTTCATAAATGCTCGATTCTTAACAGTGAGTTATTTCTTTGTCTTAGATTTCTTTACAGCAGCAATGTGTCTTCATATAGATTAATTTAACTAACTGATTTTCCTGGAGGCAAGTACTTTCTTCCTGTGAGATTATAGTGTTCCTTTTGACTCTGGAGGTGTCTGAGACCATTTTTCACAAACCAGGCGTCTTTTCAGAGATGAAACCACTGAATAATTAATTGAGTAGGAAATATTCTCCTTTTCCTAGAAGCAATATTCCTTTTATACTTGGCTAGACTGGCAGTTCCAACCTACTGACCAATCTCTCCTGCCAAACCTGATACTCAGTTCTTTACACAGTGAATGAAGTTTTCAGCTTGGCTGACACTTAGACTTAAAGTTCCTATTTTGAATGTTTCCTCTGATTTTATAGTATTCAGTAAGGGCAAGGAGTTGTATCCCGACACTTTCCAAGTAATTTTGTCAGATTCCATCTAACAGACACACCGACTGAACTGTCTGGCTACTGACATGCCAGAGACGAAAAAAGGCAAGAAAGGACCCTTTTTTCAGCATGCAGCTGCTCTTAAAGTTCTCCTCAGCTGGTGCTGACCAATGGGGGGGCGGAGGGAATGCACAGTGAGGCATTAACCCTTAATCTCCAACCTCTCTGAATTTGATGCACTAAGCATCCTGTTTTTGGAGGTCAGTTTGTCAAAGCAGGACATTAGCTTCCAAACTGCCTGCCACACCTCTGCCTCCTTCACAGATCTTGCTTGTTCTGTGCGTAGAGCATATAAAAGTAAGTTTTTTCTCTCTGTGTGAGGATCTGACAACCTTCCTTCTGTCCTGCACATTGGAAGCACCAATCTCTGTCGTCTTGCTGCATGAAACTATGTTGGTTGGTTTGTCCTTATGCAGCACTCATGTTGTTTTCACCTGTTTGCCCTTCTCCCTTCTCTTCTTTTAAAGATGCTGTCCTGGGATGTGGGCAAGATCAACCCCCAAAAGTTACCAAGCTTAAAGGGGACAATGAGCCTCCAGGCGGGAGCCTCCAAGCCTGACGAGAACCCCACTATCAACCTTCACTTCAAAATACAACAGTTGGCTATTTCTGGTATGTAGTCTTAAAACTGAGCTACGTTTTATTTATTTTCAAATGTTACGTTATTGGAGGATACAAGGAGAGGTTGTGGTGCTGGATGTCCTAGTAAGACAGTTATGTAGCATGGGTGCCTGAGGGCAGAGGGACATAAAGGTCAAGAAACCAAAGCTGGTAAGAGAGAGCTGATGGGAAGTCAGTGGACCAGTTCCTTGGGAAATATCCATCCTTTATGGATTGCACATTCCTTGGGGGTTTTGGAGCTGAGGGTGCTGCAGGACCTGCATTGTTCCTGGATTACAAGGTATTGGCTAGGCAGGTGTGCCTTTTACCAGCTTTGGCTGATTCACCAACTACGCCCCCAGAAGAAAGACCTGGTCACTATAATTCATGACTCACTGAATTCCGGATTGGACTACTAGAATGCTATCTACATAGGGCTGTTCTTGGAGAGGTTTTGGAAACTGCAACTTTTACAGAAGGTTGCTATTCAGGAGAACATATTACACCTGTTCTAAAATATTTACAGATAATGGTTTGTTTCCAGGCCCAATCCAAGGTGCTGGTTTTAGCCTTGAAAGCCCTCTATTGTCTGGGTATTGAGTACCTCAGGAATTGCCTTTTCCCATATGAGGCTTCCGGGCCCTTAAATTCTAGTAGAGAGTCCCTTCCTTCTTTTAGGGAGGTGTAGTTTTCCTCTACCAGGAGCAGGGCCCTTTCTATTAAAAAGGCAGTCTGTTCCCAGCACACACACCCACTTGCTAAAAGAGACCAATTAACAGTTAGACCTTTGAAGCCAAGGCATTCCATAAAATGGGTGCCATCACTGAGAGAGTCCTGTTCTTCTTAGCCATGTTGCACCTCTGAAGATGAAGCACTTGGAGCAGGCCCCCCTGGAAGCTGTTAAAAGTCCCCAGGGGGACAGAGGAGAGGAATGGGGACAGTAAGGCTTTTTGTTGTTGGGGCAAGGGTGTCAGTTTCCTGCATTACCCTTTGCTGTTCTCCATGACCTGCCAGACCAAAAGAAATTGCAGATTTAAGCAAATGTATGCTGTGCCCATTCTCATTTTGCATTCCACAGTACCTCTGGGCCCGTAATAATAATAGTTGCCTTTGTCTCCTTCAGTTGCTCATCTCCAACCTCTCTTTACCTTTTTACATCCTCCTAGGGTTAAAAGTGAATCGACTGGACATGTACGGAGAGAAGTATAAACCTTTCAAAGGGATCAAGTACATGACGAAGGCTGGCAAGTTCCAAGTCCGGACCTAGAAGCACCTGTGTCAGAGAGGAGACTTAGGCTCTCACTTCCTACTCCGCCTCTGACTTCCTGCTCCACCTCTGCTCCCATTTCCCCCTGGAGCTGCTGCTTGCTGTGGCCTCTGTGAATCATTTCTCCAGACTGGGCAAACGTGGTGTATCCAACTCAGATTTCAAAGCTCTTAAGTGGAAGAGGAGAGCAAATGAGGGGAAACAGTGACATCGCTGAAAAGTCACTGGCTAATTTCCCCCCTCTGGTAGAATTCAGTGCCCTTCTTTCTCCCTTTGTGGCTGGCGGTGAGCTGTTTTCCTTCACAGCCCTGAGTGCGTGGGAGAAGCTGCCGGGACAGTATGATAAGGGGAGCTGAGAGAATACCCCCGCTCCCCAGTATTCTTCCCTTGGTACACAGGACTCTCTTCCAGGCAGGGTTTTGTGTTGTTGTTGTTTTTTTTGGGAGGGAAGAGTTGCTACTGCAGTCCAGCCAGGAGCCTGCTGTGGAAGACGGAAGGGGTGTTGTCCTCATACTCAGTCAAGTCCCTGACCTTAGTGAAATGTTTTGATTGGGAGAGTAGCTGGAAACAGGTTTTTCAGGGAGCTGAAAGAAGCATCTTGGCCCATACTGAGAATGCTCATCCCACGGCTCTCTTTGGAAAACAGGGTTCCGGATAGTGCTTTTGGAAACCTGCTTAACCGGAGATTACCTGTGGGGCAAAAGAGAGACTGTCTAGACTGCTGGCAACGCAGCCTCTCCCTTACCACCTTCAGCTCTCTTTAAAAATGAATGCCTGGAAGGGAGGAGAGGGAAACAAGCTGTGTACAGTATGTATCAAGTGTGATGTCTGGCTAAGGAAACTGGTGTTATGTATGTTTGTGCGTGCGCTTCGGCTGCGGCAGTGCAGCTCCCCCTCCTGCATGCAGGTGTGTGTCATGTGCTTCCAACCACCCTGTCTCCTTCCCCTCTTTCTTTCATGCATTGCTTCTATACAGTTTAGATTATAGCTACATGCTGGTGCCTTCTGCTCTGAGCCTCTACCAATTTTGCACACTTGGTTTTGTTTTGTTGTTTTTAATGTGGTAATGCCAAGTTGACACTTGTGGCAGACTGTTCTGTCTTCCAAATGCACCAATGAGGTTAACAAACTTTGGAAATGTGGTTTGGAGCTGTGATCCTGGAAGCCGTGTCAGAGAATCTCCGTGACCAGTTGCTGCGCCAAAACAAGATTTACACAGTGGCCACCATTTAACCATCTGGTGTAAAAAACAGTGATGCAAATCAGATCTCCCACACACACCCCGGTAAGATCTGATGGGTGAACAGTTACTAGTAATGCAAATGCATTCAGATGACCTGTTCCCACTTGGGGTGTATTTATACATGGCCACTGCTAGAACTTTAGATCAGGCATGTGGCTGCAGTTCTATGCAGGGAACTCAGTTCCCAGGAGTACACAGACCCACTAGGAATCGTGGGGATGTGGGGTTTAAGCCCTCTGCCCTGCTGTTTCTTCTGGCCAGAAATGGCCCAAGGAAGGTGCTGTTTGCCATATTGGGGAAACACGTATATTGATGATGGTTACATACAGGGCTTTTTTTGTAGAAAAAGCCCAGCAGGAACTCATTAGCATAATAGGCCACACCCAATAGCTGAAACTCATTAGCATATTAGGCCATACCCTGACAGCACAGCTAATTAGCATATTAGGCCGCAGCCCTGTGTTGCCAGAAGTGTGGCCATCCAGCCACACCCACCTTTTGCTTCTTATTCTGTTTACCTTGTTTGTTGTCAAAACCCAGGGCTTTTTTTTGTAGCAGGGACTCCTTTGCATGTTAGGCCCCACACACCTACTGTAGCCAATCCTAATGAGTTTCTGCTGTTGGGTGTGGCCTATTATGCTAATAAGTTCCTGCTGGGTGTGGCCAACTCAGGAGCCAACCGGAACTCCGTTCCTGTGCGTTCCTGGCCAAAAATTGCCCTGGTTACACATAATGTTCCCCACCAAGGCAAATAGCTTCCAGAGCTGTTTCATATTGGAGAATATGTTACAGGCAGAAGGCTTATGATCCTCCTCCACGTGGTCTCACTCTAAATCAGGCCCCCAGGGACTTTAGACCCCAGCATGAGACTATAGACATGCTGCTGCTTACAGTACAAGTGGCTGTCACATGGACTTTGTAATGTGTGAATCAGCCTCAAATCCCAACTGCTGGACAAGTGCATGAGAGACAAATACAGTGGGGTACTTCTTTTGGTGGAGGTGGAGTTCCTCTAGAAGTAGGAACCCCTTACTGTCACCCTGCTCCACGGCCAGGAGCAAGGCAAGGTTACAGTCATATCCATGCTTATTTGGAAGTAAGGCCCTTTAAACGCAGTGAGGCTTGCTTTTGAGTAAACATGCAAGGAGTTGCAAGAATGAAAACGGGTAATGTTCTTGTGGTTGCAGTTTGAGCCGGTCTTTACAACATGCACGTGTCTTAAAAGTTAGGCCCTGCATCCAGCCTCTGTCTTAGCTCTTCCCTTGTGTTTCAGAGAGGCATGTGCAGCGTCTACAGTCATCCATGGTTGTGCATCACAGTACCCCTCCCTCCAATTATAAATCCTTTTAAAACTGCTGAGAAGGAACTGTGAGGTGATTGATTAGACATGTTGCAGGAACAAGCTAATAGGTACCCATTCCCTCTGTAGTTTTCCCCACCTCTAGCAATGTACAGAACTTTCCCTCAAAGTTTGCTCCAGGAATGAAAACTCTGCATTTTGGTTCAGGACAGCAGTGTTGCATTCAGTCCACTTCCACCCCACTGAAAATCCTGCACCCATCTTCACCTTGCCTGATGGCACTTCTTAACTTTGTCATGGGGTGAAACAGCTTGGACCCAGGAATATGCAGGCCACGGTCATGAAGGTGTTTCACTGAAGCAGCCTGTCTTTTGTGACTCCAAGGATATAGTTCAGTTTGCAGAAAAATGCCCTCTTAGGCAGTTGGTGAAGATGCCAATGACGTGGCAACACGGCTGCCCATCTCGGTTTGTGCACTGAAAAGACAGGCCTTGTGTCTAGCAGGAGATCAATAAAAATTGATTTTATCCTTTCAGTATCTGAGAGGTCTACAGGAGGCTATGAAGGACTGGATCTGGGGGGGGGGGGGAGTATCCATTGTGTCTTGCTATTATGGACCAGCCAGTTGAGGTAGGGTGACCAGAAGGGGAATAGAACAAGCTCTGGCATTCTGCACCTATATAGCTGCTGGTCTTTTATCCTAGGGACTGTAGTGTCTCCTGTGACCACTGCTTGCACAGTTCTCCCAACAGACTTTGGATAAAATCAGGTTTGGGTTTCACCAGTAGCATGGCCAAGCAACAGTCAGAATCCAATGCTGGTCCCTGCATATCTGCTGTGAAATTAAGCCCACTGATGGCACTGTGCTACAAGTATTTGAATGCAATCTTCCATGAGCAAATACATTGAGTGATATCAGATTTTGTGGCTGGATGGAGGCAAACGACACATGCTGCTTATCAGGTAAGCTCCTTTTTGTGTGTTTCCTACACCAACAGCACAAACATCTAGGAATAAAGGCACCTTTCTTGCACAGGACATTTCTTATGCTCCTAGCTATGCATTACTGTTCCCAGCCAGGTGTATACAAAGTTGTGGCTTGGGCACACAGAAAGCATGTTGTGCTAAAGGTGGATTTGCACGCCAGTGTTGCAGGACAGGTGCAATAGATTGCAAGGGTGGCCTGCTGCTCTGTTGAGGTACATTTCTGATTGCGTCAATATAGAATCCCTCAGAACTGAGTAAGAGTCCGATAGCACCTTAAAGACTAACAAAAGTTGTGGTGGGATATGAGCTTTCGTGAGTCACTGCTTAATACTGAAGAAGAGAGCAGTGACCCACAAAAGCTCATACTCTGCCACAAATTTTGTTAGTCTTTAAGGTGCTACTGGACTCTTACTGTTTTCTACTGCTACAGGCAGACTAACATGGCTACCAACGTTCCCTCTAAGCTGTGGAGTCTCGTGAGCGAAAAGTCTACTTTGTGAGCTACTGGCATTAAAGTTGTGAGTGATTTGGCTCCTGCATCAATCAGTTAGCTCTGGAGCCATCCTTCCTGAGCAGAGACAAAACTCTGTGAGCTGGAGGCTAAAAAACTGTGAGCTAGCTCACACTAACTCAGCGGGAGCACTGATGGCTACTCGTGTTGATTTATCTCCTCAGAACTGAGTACAGAGAACTAGTCTCAGCTGATAATACTTAGCAATGATACAAGTGGTTTGTTATTCAAAGCACTTCATGTTGTTGAGTTGTAATCTTTATAGCAGCCCTGTCAGTTAGGCCAGTATTATTGAAGAGACTTGTCTAAGGTCACAGAGTGAGGTTGTAGCAGGGGCAAGGTTTGATCCTAACATTCCCCCAATCGTGCCTTTTTCTTTTAGCCATGGTGCTACTGCTACTTCAGGTCCTTCTTTGCAGTAGCGGGTTGTTAGAGGCACATGATTGACCAAATTGGCACATCAAGGCAGAAATCTGTCCTTATATACATACAACCACAGGTACAGAAGAGTGGCACATGTGGAAAGCCAATCCATCTGGAAGAGGTAGAGCTGTACTTGCACCTTTTGCTCAGCAGATGGAGTCACAACATCAGACATACAGGTTGAGTTTTAGACCACCCTGGGGCAAGAAAATAAAATTCCCCTGCGAGCAAATGTTTCAAACTTTGGTTTAGAAAGAAGGCCCAGTTTGACAGGGGAGAAGGTTCTTTAAGGGTAGCACAGAAGGGAAGGAAACAGATCTGAGCCAGAATGCTAACCCACCAGATGCAGTCTCCTGCACAAGCCCCATTGAGGAGTCTTGTGTTGCTCCCGTTCATTTCAACAGGGCTCGCACGGAAAAACAGCCTGGCAGAATGGGTCACATTTAATTAGTGACCAGATTTTCCAACCCCAACCCCCCCCCCCTTTATATCAACCATAGATTATTCTGCAGCCTTCAGCTATAAAGCTCCCATCCCTTTTAAATGAGTTGTTCTGATGTGTCAAGCTACGCAGCCTTAGTGGTTTTTATCTCTAAAACCGCAGTGGTTCCTTTGGTCATGTGCTACGGCTCCTTAGTTGACCTCTGGAGCCTGTCCAGTTTGCTCACTGAACTGGGATTTGACGTGCCTTCGGGTTAAATCCCTTTTGAGGGCTGGTTCAAGTCTGTGTCAACAGCAGCCCTTCTCACCGGAAGCGTGTGTCTCCATGCTGTGACTCAGTCTGGTCCATTAGGTTTCTGCGTATGTCATGACCCTGCAAATCATGGCCCTCCAATTCAGAGTGTTGGTTAGACTCAGCTGGAGCTGTGGGGTGAGGTGGAGGGAGGGAAAAATAGCATGATCCTTTCCAATATCCGCCACGGTTCTCGTCTGAGGCCTTTCTTTACTGGAACTGAGTGCAACTAGACTGCCTATACTGTTGGCTGGCTGACAATCATTTAGGCTGTATCTAGCTTATAACTAAGAACTGTGGTGGCTCAAGTGGTTAAGACGCTGAAATGCAGGCTGTGGAAGGTCAGCAGTTCAGCAGTTCGAGACCCGGGTGCCGCATGACAGAGTGAGCTCCCGTCTCTAGTTCCAGCTCCTGCCAACCTAGCAGTTCGAAAGCAAGAAATTGCAAGTAGATAAATGGGTACCGCTTCGGTGGGAAGGGAACAGTGTTCCGTGCACCTTGGTGTTTAGTCATGCTGGCCACATGACCACGGAAACGTCTTCGGACAGCGCTGGCTCTTCAGCTTTGAAACGGAGATGAGCACCGCAACCCTAGAGTCGGATTCAACTGGCTTTTGAGCAAGGGAACCTTTACCTTTACTTAGCTTATAACTAGGAGCTGCGGTGGCTCAAGTGGTTAAGATGCTGAAATGCAGGCTGTGGACATCACACGCGAGATGTCATTCTGGCTCCCCCAGCTCTCTGGAGAGGCTCTTTTAAAAGTTATGGCCGCCGTAGCTGTTCTCGGCGGCAGCTGCAATGCCCTGCCCGCGGGGGGGGGGGGGATGGGGCGAAACGTTCCCTTGCCTCCCTGAGCCCCAGGGTGGTGGCCTTGGACTCCGCTCAGTCATGGCAACGCCGCTCGGACATCACACGTGAGAGGTCATTCTGGCTCTCCCAGCTCTTGGGAGGAGCTCTTTAAAAAGTTATGGCCGCCGCTGTTCTCGGTGGCAGCTGCGATGCCCGAGGGGGGCAGGGCGAAACATTCCCTTGCCTCCCTGAGCCCCAGGGTGGTGCCCTTGGACTCGTAGGGGCAAATTCCACCTCTCGCGTGTGATGTCCGAGCAAGAGGTCATTCTGGCTCCCCCAGCTCTCGGGAAGGGCTCTTTAAAAAGTTATGGCTGCCGCCGCCGTTCTCAACAGCAGCTGCGACACCCGCGGCGAGGCGAAACGTTCCCTTGCCTCCCTGAGCCCCGGGGTGGTGGCCTTGGACTCGTAGGGGCAAATTCCACCTCTCCAGTGAGAGGTCATTCTGGCTTTCTCAGCTGTCCTTAGGGGCTCTTTAAAAAGTTATGGGCCCCGCTGCTGAAAGTGGCGGCAGCTGCAACCACCGCAGGGGGGGGGGCTGTTGAGCTGCCCTCCCTGCCTTTTTCAGGCTCCGTGCCT